CCCAAAACCTAAAAAATTAAATAAAATTCTGAAAAAAAAAGTAAAATACAAAAACACACTATGTGTGTTAACCCATTCAGGTAACAAAATTTTTATCTTGGTGGAGGCCCTAAAATTCTCAATGACTAAGAGAGAATACCAAATGCTTAAATGAACTATACGTATGATTTGCTTTAAAATAATGAACTGTTAGGGAGGAGGTGGGAGTATGGAAGATGGAAAACTGAGTTGTAATTGTTGTAGCTGGGTAAGGGGTCCATAGGGGTTCATTATATTTTTCCATTTTCATAAATTTTTCTTAATATTTTTTAAAAGATGTAGGGAAACAACGTACTATGCACTATATCATGTTTGATGCTCTGGAAAGTGGAAACATCACTTGAGACACTAACCAAGACGCGGGTCCCACTCGTGCCATGCTGTTGTTGAGAGAATAAAAGCCACTGGTTCCCATCTTCTGGGGAAGGACCCATGCAAGAGTTTGGTCCAAATGACAGCTATCCTGTATCCTGGACAGGAGCTGAGAACAAACGTATCAGAAAAGTTGGTGCGATTCTGAGAGACAACAAACAAAATAACTAACAAGACATTTTGGTCAAGATGTCACAGAAGAACTCTAATCCAACACCAGAAGCATTTCTTATCCCTCGTGTCAACCGGATAAATGCTTCCCAGGTTAGGTCAGGCAAGGTGGGGAGGGGGTCCCAAAGCAAATTCGAGGTCCCCAACGGTTTAGAGCCGCCAAGGAGCAGCAGAGCGGAGCTGAGGCCGCCTCCTCGCTCCCAGGCGCATCTGCAAGTTGTCGAGCCTCCCACCCCAGCCCTGCCACAACCGCGGCCCCATCGCACAGAGGTGGCCGAGCGGCACGGGTAGAGATGGCAGGAGCCCGACAAGTGGCTCGGGGGCGCCCCCTGAGGTCCAGTGGCGTCTCCGCACCTTCGAAAAACGGAAAGCCGGCATCTACGGCTCTGACATTTTAACTTTGCCTGGTTGCAAAGGCTGCAGCTGCACTCTCTCTGGCGGCACTTTTCCAAGCCACAACCCTTCTTCCCGCGCGTCGCACCATTGCCCCTTTCCTTTCCGACACCTTCTGGCTCCTGGACCAGGGAATGGACTATTTACCTCGCAGCGTGGGACGCACAGAAAATGTGGAAGACGGTAACTGTCCCAGTCCCAAGCAGGCGGCATCACTGGTGGTCCCATTTTGGATTTCAGGATTCCTCAGACATCAGGAAAAAGAAAATCCCGGCCGGCCTACTGACTGCACACCCGAGCATAAGGAGAAGGCCAGAAGTGGAATTAAATTCCTTGTATTGCAAGGCTGCTCTCCTGCTGCCCCACACTGCCCCCATGAAAGCGTGACCCTTACAAAGCTCGACCCCAGTGTGCACCTGAGCCCGCTCAGCCGGCAAATCTACAGCAAAAATGATAGTCTAGAAGGGGCAGATGATTAACACAAATAGTGAACAGTGGTGTTGGGGGGGTTATTTTAAGGGACAATGCCCAGCCCCTGGTGGAGGGAGGACCACGGTGGGCAAACCCCAGGCCTCAGGGTTTGTATGGACGCACGTCCTAGCTCGGCGTCCAAGCTGGGGTTCTGGGCTGTGGTAGGAGTTCTGTGAGGTTCCGGGGGCAGGAGAATTCGTAAAAGGAAAAGGGGGATGCTGAAGAAGAGACGGTGCTTTGCCTCTCTGCCCCTCGAGGCCACTCCAGTGCCTGCAGAGGGGACACTCGCTGCCAGTCCCCGAGGGCAGAAGGAACGCCCGCACCCTGCTCCAGGGCGCACGACGGAGCTGGGGGACCCGCTGCACCAAGACCGGGCGCTCGGGCCGCCTGGGGACAGGCGGCTGTGGCCAGGGAGAGCAGAAACATCTGGCGGCACGTTCTGTTTTCTGGATAATCCCCACCTCCGGGAATCCAGGAGCCGGTGGATGAGACGGCAGAAAAACGGGGCGGGGTGGAGGGGTTCCCTGTCCTTAGGAGAGCGAAGGATGACAAACGAATCGCCCCCTTCTTCCCACTCCTTCTCCGATTAGGGCAGAGGACGTGGCCTCCATCTTCGGGGAGGGGGCTAGACAGATTCTAGGGAGCTTGGGACTGTAGCCTAGGGGGAGGGGGGCCTGCAAGAGTTAAGAGGGAGTCAGCTGGCCTCTGCCCTCCCCGAGTTGAAAGAGAAGGGGGGGGTCGGCCGGTGGAGGGCTGGAAGAGGAGGGTCGCCGAGCCGCACACCGCTACGTGCGGTGATTTGTTATCTTCATCAATAGCCAATACTGTTTCTGTCTTAACCTGATCAGAACGGTGCGGGTCTGGGTCTGCCAGCCGCGAACAGCCTGCAAAAGGGCAAAGATAAAGGTAGGCAGGGCGCGCGAGACAGGAAAAAATCCGCCCAGGCGCGAATTGCAACCCAGCCGCCGACCCGCCCCCCTCCCCCGCGCCCGGACCCGAGCAGACCAGCACAGCAGAGTTGCGGGATAAAGGGGACACGGGCCCGGACTCGGGGAGCCACGGGTCTTCCTAGACGCCTGCTTCCTACCCTCCCACTGCGCCCACGTCCCCTCACCCAGAAAGGCTCCCTCGCGCCGGCACCGAAGCACAGCCCGCGCCCCAGCCCGGAGCCGGGGTCACCCCCGTCTCCCGAGACCAGAATGCCAGCTGCTCCTAATATCCCCAATCCTCCACGTCCAGCCTCCAGCTTTCGTTCCCCGAACACTAGCCTCTCCATAGAGTCAGGGAGCAGCAAATCAAGTACCCTCTTCTGAGCTCCTTCAATCCCTTCATGAGCAAGGGACGCACCCTGGGCCCCCCAAGCCCACAGAGGCATCCTCCCCATGGCCCCAGTCTCCCCAACAGTCCTGGACCTCTAGCTCTCCCGGACGGCGACCTATCAGTAGAACGAGTCCTCTTTTCTCCCAACTCCAGCTCCCCCAGGCCCCCCAAAACCAGAGCAAGAGGCAGACCCTTGCGGCCCCTGTCCCCCTGGCTGGTTAGCCCCTGCTTCCACCCTCCCCAAACACCAGCCTTCCTAAACGCCGCCAGAGCCAGCGGAGCGGATCCCTCTCTCCTCCCCAGGCGCCTGACCCCCCTGCACCCTCTCCCGGATCCCCGGGACAGGCACCCGAGCTCTGTGCCCCGGCGGCAACTCCGCATCCCCCGCGCGCGCCGGCTAGGGCCGCGTCCCCTCGGCCGCCGGCACTCACCGGGGAAGCATACGACATAATGGAGCACGGAACTGGTGATTTTCAGGAACAAAATCCACCAACACGGTTCCAGTAACCTCCGCATGTCCGAAAACGCACATCGAAAAGAGGAAGGCAGGGGGGGTAAACTTGTTGAATAAGTTCTTGCCTCCGTAAGAGCCTCCGCTAAGCCCGGGTTCTTCTCCTGCTCGCCCGCTCTACGGGCCCCCCGCGCTCGGCGGCCCGAGTCCCCCTGGAATCCGGGAAGCCGCCGAGCGCCCCCCGGAAAATCTCAAAAAGTGACCGGGAACGTGCAGCCACGCTGGGGACGATCCTCGGCGAAGAACTGCTTTCTGTTCAAAAAGGAGAGAGCTGAGCGGGCAGGGCGAGGAGTCGGCCGGCGGCAGCAATGCCCTGGGCCCGGGGCAGGCAGGGACCGTAGGCAGCGGCGGCGAGCAGCCGAGGATCCCCAACTTGAGTCGGCAGCGCAGCGCAGCCTGAGAGCCGGCGGGCGGCGGCGGGGCTGAGCGCGACGCGGCGTCTCTGGCTTCAGGCAGGCAGCTCCTTCCAGGGCCCCGGGAAGGAAGGAGGCATGTTTGCGAGCGGGGAAGGGGAGGGCAGAGGCGAGGGAAGCGAAGAGCCCCCCAAAATAGAAACGGCCGGAGGAAACCGAGGAAAACACAAAGGATCTCAGAGGGGCGCTAGGACGAGGGCGCCTTCAGTCCATGCTCCTGAAAGTTGTGGCTCCGGCGCGAGCTGGGGAGGATCGGGGAGCGCGGAGCTGGAAACTAGCCATGCCTCCATACAGGAAGTAACATGTGAGCATGGATCCTGGCAGAGACTTTAAAGCCGGCGAGCGTGCGAGCACGGGGCGCGCGGTGGCGGTGGCGGCGGCGCGCGAGCAGGGGCGCGCGGCGGCGGGGGTGGTGGTGGCGCGCAGCCGGGCTGCCGGCGGCGGGCACGCGCCTCCCGCGCTCTTAAAGCAGCCGCGCTCGGTTCCCGCCTCGTAGGGGTCCCACAGCCCAGTTCTCTCCCGCTGCAGCCCTGGGTGTGCTGCGGACTCGGCCGGGGCAGTTTAGGGACTGGAGATCGGGGAGGAGGGTGATTGACGTCGGGGACCGACGACTCTTTGCCAGATTACTGTTCTGCGAGCTCTTAAAGACCCCGAGATATAAGCAGGCTTGGCGAGGATTCCCCCCCAGTCCTCGTTGCTCGCGCACCCAAGACTTGGGGGGCCCCTGGCTCGGGTCTGAGGAGGTACGGGCGGTCTGCTGCCTTTACCGGGCGACGGGGTTTCCTGTTGGGTTTCATCGCTCTGGCAGTGTCGCGGCGGGGCGCGCCCTGCTCGCACCCTGCTCACTCCCTGCTCGCGCCCCCAGGCCGGCACATTCCCAGCCTGGAAACAAAGCCGAGCGGCCTTTGCACTCGAGCTGCGCGTTGGGGTTTAATTTCTTTCTTTCCTCCTTTTTTTCCCCCCGTCTTCCATTGGCCGAGTTCTTGGCTGGGGAGAGGTGGGGGAGGAGAGGAGTATCGATTGATCCAAGGCTTGCAAAATCCAGCCATTCTGATTTCCACACGCCCTTTACCCACGCCACGACGGATCGCTGGCGGAGTTTTTCCCAACTCTCAGATCGAAGGAAGGAAGGTTCCTGCACTCCAGCCCGGTGGTAGGGAGGGCGCTGGAAGTGCGCCCCTTACTCCTGGGTGTGTGAAAGCTGCGCCGCGGAGCAGGACCGGTTTCCTGGCAGCTACCCGGGAAGCAGCAACCTCTTTAGCAATCGCAGAGAGGCGTCCAGGGTAAATGGGAGGACTGAGCTTATCTGTAATGAGTTTTGTCCCTTGGCTCTTGGTGAGAAAGATCTTTATCGCTTAGACTTCTAAGCGCCCTATTTTCCCTCTTACGCCGGTGCTAAACGTGGGGGAGGCGGGCTTTTGATTAAACGTGTAATTGAGCCAAGGTAATTAGCCATTTGTAATTTTTGCCTAATTTTTCTGCCCCTGTTTAAAAGCCATCTCGACTTGCTTTTAACGTGCCCCCGCTGTTTCATCCCACCATGCAGGGTCCCCACCCACCCAAACATCCCAACCGGATGCTAGATTTTCAAATAATACACAGATGTTCGAGATCCTCCCGCAAGATGTGATTAGGGAAGCAATTTCACACCCACACTTCCAAAAGAAAAACCTTTGAAAAGTTACATTTGGGAATACGAACTAATAAAAGCCAGGAAGTTCCTGGGGAGGGCCCAAGCTCTATCTTTAGCAGAACGGGGGTGAACACCCTCCCCCAGGGTGGGGAATGAGTCTAGTTTGTTTGCTTTGGAATTTGGTCCTTCCTGGTTTTGTTGGAATCCTGACTCGGCCATAAATGCTCCAGAGGGTCAGTTTTCTTGGGACTGTTGTATTAAAGCTTTGTCCATTGGTCAATAGGAGCTTTGAGAGAAGTTCATATGACCTCTGGATGTCTGGCTACCTCATTAAAAACTGAATGATAAAGTGGGGAAATCCATGGAATTTGAATCAGAACAGAACACCTGGATAACATCCCTAGGTGAGTTTATTCCTTTGCAAACATAACGTAATAAAAACTGCCATTTGTGGAATGCTTACTATCTACCAGGCATTGCACTGAATTCTTTCTATAAACTGTTCATTCCACAAATGTATTGAGCATTTACTGGGGGTGGGGGGTGAGGTATTACTGGGAACACAGCCATGAACAAAAAGGACAGGCCTGTGACCTGTGTGGAGCTTACCTTTCCCAGTACAGGATACACTCTTCCGGAGTCCTTACAACAGTTCTGCCAGCAGTAAGAATTATTATCCCCACTTATAGACAAGGAAACATGCTCAGGGGAGTAAACTAATGGATCCCTAGCTAGTGAGTAGCAGAGCTGAGATTCTCAGATTCTCAGGTCTGTCTGCCTCCACAGATGTGAAAAGGCAAAGAAATGATCATTTGGGAAGACCCTGAAATGTGGGCTTGGGAGAAATGGCTTAGGAATGGGGGAACCACACATGGGTTTGAAGAGTGAATTATCACTACCCTTATAATATAGGAGGCCCCACACCAAAACTTGAGGGGTCACCTTGGATCTGAGTTGGCGACTGTCCTGGGGCCCTAGGCTAAAGTGTACCAGCTACTGCTCTTGGAAGCACCCTCCCACAACCCAGACCCCACCAGTTTCCCTAATAAAGTAGAATGTTACAGGCATACCACACAGGTTGCCTTTTCATTCATTCTACAGCCAGTTACAGGACAGCTCATATAGTCAATCAAGTGGTAGCAGCACAAAATGGCAGGCAGTGGACCTGCTGACTACAACCCCCCAGGTGATGTGGGGGCTGCACATACAGTGGGCACTCCAGGACAGTTGGTGTGAAGGGTCCTAGGAGTGCCAAAAAAGGTGTGAACGGCCCTGGGAGTGCTCATCTGGAAGATAAGAAGGCTGCAAAGAGAAGGAGCTGGTATTGGTAATAAATTATCCCCCAAACTTAGTGGCTTAAAACGGTACACATGTATTATTGCACAGCTCTGTAGTTCAGAAGTTGGGGCACACTATACCTGGGTCCTCTGCTTCAAGTTTCCCTAGGCTGAAATCAAGGTGACGGTCAGGAATCCTCATCTGGAGCTCAGAGCCCTCTTCAAAGCTCATTCAGATTATTGGCAGAATTCAGTTCTTCAGAGTCGTAGGCTAGAAATAGAAAATATTCTGGCTAGCTGTTGGCTAGAGGTCAGTCTGAGGCAGAGGCTACCTTCAGGTCCCAGCCACATGGCCCGCTCACAATATGGCAGCTTACCTCTTCAAAGCCAACAGGAGAATCTCCCTCTAGTCAGCTATGAAGGTGTCTTGGGAGTGAACATCCTATCACTTTGGCCATATAATGTAGCCTCATGAAGGCAGTGACTATCCCATCATATTCACAAATGTCACCCACTCTCAGAAGAGGGGATTATACACCAGGGGTAGGAATCTTGGAAGTCATCTTAGAATTCTGCCTGCCTCAGTGCTGGTGATCTATTTTGAGTACTGATAGTGATTAAAAGCAGTAGCTCCCAAGCCAGTCTATTTGGGTGCTGAAGTTACTTAGATCTACTTGACTATGGACACCTTAACCACTTTAATTTAACCACTTAACTTCACCACTTGGGTACCTCAGTTTCCTCATTTGGAAAAAGGGAATCATAACTGCACCTACCCTTGAAATGAGATTAGAAGCAGTTGCAAAGAATAAAATACTTAGAGCAGTACCAGGTGCCCAATAAGCATTTAATAAACATAAACTATTACTCTTATCTTCTTAAAAATCTTAAGCAACAGGGAGTGAACATCTATTATTTCCTACCTGCTCAGCTTCCATTTCTTTTCTTCTAGTAAAAGCATTCCAGTTTCCTTTGCACTAATCTCACCACATAGTCTTGGTAAGCCTCACCCCTTCTTCGTCCATCACTACCCTCTGCCTCTCCACCTCACTGGGTCAACATGGAAATGTGTCCCAGCCTGACTACTTGGAGCATCTCAACCCCCGGGGCCTGACTGACTTAGAGATGGCCTCATGTTTCCACGTGATCTAATGAGAGTCAAACTTCCTTCTGGGTCTGCCATTCGGGATAAACTTAAGCCTCGAGAAGCAAGGAGGACCCCACTTGAGAAGAGACTGCTTGAGGATGAAGCTGACACACAGAGGAAATCAGAGGGGGAGAGGAGGAGGCCAACACACCTCTGATAGCATCACTTGAGTCCTTGGATTAAGTCATACTTGAAGCCAAACCAGACCCTGAACTTTCCAGTTACTTAAGCTAACAAATTCCTTTTATTCCTTTTACCTCTTTGAGTTGAGTTTTTATTAAACTGAAACTAAAACCTTGAAAGTTGGAACTGACGGGGAAAGATAAGTGAGATATCCACATTTTACATTTTTACACAGGAAGAAGCAGGTGCTCTTAGAATTAAGAGATTCAGCTGAGGTGACTGAGAGAGTAAACAACAGAAGACTCAAGCTTCTGACACCAGGTCTACAGCAGCATTCTTTTTTATGTTATAAAAAAATCACTCCAAAACTTAGTCCCTTGAAACAACAATCATTCTATCTGTTCTTGATACTGTAGGCCAGCAATTTGGGCTGAGCTCAGCGAGGCAGTTCTTCTGCTAGTTGTGTCTGAGGTCACACATGCAGCTACAGCACCAGCTTCCAGAGGATCAACTGGTTCTGCTCAGTGCTAGGTAGCCTCATTCACATGCCTGGCAATTGATGCTGGCTGCTGGCTGGAGCCCCTCAGATCCCATTCCTGGGCATCTCCAACAGCCTGTCTCAGACTTACTTACGAAGAGGTCTCAGGCCAGGAGAAGAGAGAGTGGAAGTTGCAAGGCATCTTGAGATGTAGACTTAGCAGTGGCATAACATCACTTCCACTGCATTTTATTGGTCAAAACATGTCTGAAAGCTTAGATGCAAGGGGAGGGGAAAACAGACCCTAGTTCCTGAGGGGGAGGAACAGTAAAATTGCGTTGCAAAGGGGCATGGAAACAAGGATGTGAGGAACTGTAATCTTTGCAAACAACCTACTTCATCTACTGTTAAACTAAATGGTGACTGCATGGGTTGAACTGTGTCCCACCAGAAAGATATGCTGAAATCCTAACAGTACCTCAGAATGTGACCTTACTTGGAAACAGGCTCTTACTAGAGATAATCCAGTAAAAATGAGGTCATTAGGATGAGACCTAATCTGATATGATAGGTATCTATAAAAAGGGGAAATTTGGAAGCAGATACAGACAAGCACAGAGGGAAAATGATATGCAAACACATGGGAAGGAGACGGCCATGTGACTGGAGTGAAGCATCTACAAGTCAAGGAGCACCAAGGATAGATG